ATGGTTAGTGCTGTGCTAACCGAAAGGTTGGTGGTTCAGATGCACCCAGGAGTGGACCTGATTAGACTTTGCCTTTTCTTTTTTAATTATGCTACTGATAGAGTTACTTCTAGTGCTTTTCTCTTTGATTTCTTTTTTTTTTTTTTTTCCTTCTTCTTTATTTTCTGCAGAGGAAGAAAGGCTTGACAACCTGCTTCCATAAAGATAAACCAAAAACAAAACCAAACCCATTACTGTTGAGTCAATTCTGATTCATATTGACCCTAAAGGGCAGAGGAGAATTGCCCAATAGTGTTTTGAAGGCTGTAATCTTTATGGGAGCTGACTGCCACATCTTTCCCCTATAGAGCTGCTGGTGGGTTCAAACTGCTGACCTTTCAGTTACCACTCGAGTGCTTTAACCACTACATCACCAATGCTCCTCTCATAAAGATTAAAGCCAAAAAACCCTATGGAGGAATTCTACTCTGTAACACATGGGTCACCATGAGTCGGAAGGAATCAACTTGACAGAAACAGATTATTGTTAGTCATCCTCTTCCTGCAGGCAGAGTCCTTCGGTCACTCTTTTAACTTTCATCTTGGGAGATTTCCCAGCTCTTGACATGATATGCACAGTAATTGACTTCTCCCCCCTTGTAATTATATATCATTAGTCTAACTCCAAAAAAGCACTAGAGCCACAACATTTAAGCATTCAGCTGGTAACTGACAGCTGGCAATTTGAACCTACCCGAAACCTCTGTAAGAGAACGACCTGGTGGTCTGCATCTGTAAAGATTAAAGCCTAGGAACCCCATGGGGCAGTTGTCCAGTAACAACAGCTTAACTCTCACTGGTTTGGCAGTTTTTGTGGTCATCCCTGTGTACTTCACATGCTGTTGCATGAGTATTTCACATTCTAACACTTATCCCCTTTTTGCTTGGACAGGCAAAAGGAAAATTGCTGACTGCAAAGTCCATGAAGGAAAACCAGATTGTATTCTCTGCAAAGAAGGGGAAGATTACACAGAAAAGGAAAATTATTTAGATAAATGTATCAAATGTGATCTTTGTGATGGAGGACATGGTAAGTATCTTAAAAAGCAATTGAACTACATGCTACAATATACACGGAGCTTGAAGACATTATGCTCAGTGAAATAAACCTATCATAAAATGGCAAATATTGTAGGAGCTCGCTTATATAAAAGGACAACAAAAGGCAAATGTAATGGAGACCAAAGTTTATTGTGGTTACCAGAGACAAGAGGGAGGGAGAATTGGAAGGGTAATAGTGATAGAAAAGCACATTAATGAAGCATAGGGTTGTGCAGCCTTGTTATTGTAACTGCTGTCAATACACTAGTAAGTTGAATGGCTAAAGTTGTGTGATAGATGTATTTACAACAAAGACACAGAAAGAGTAGCTGCTGAGGCTGCTATGTACAACAAACACCTCATAGGATTTGGTTCCTTGGTTTGGAGGTTTAGGGTCATAGTTTCAAAGGACATCCCAGTTTATTGGCCTAATAATGTGTTTAGTGCTTCTTTTCTACCTCCTAGTTCCTTGCATAGTGCCTGGGGCCTTAAAAGCTTGCAAGTGGCCATTCAAGGCACAACATGGGTCTCTATTCACTTGAAGCAACAGAGGAAGGAGGAGAGTCAGAAATAGGAGAAGAATGTAGGATGTGTGGCTAATTGCTTCCATGAACAACTACTTCCTTTGCCATGAGATCAGAAGAATGGGGTGGTGCCTGGGTACCATTTCTGAACATTTTGCTCAAAGATTCCACAGCAGAATCCTTATCAAAGTAGAAAAACTGCAGAACAGAATTTCAAATTTTCATGGACTGCAGACTTCCTGGAACCATAAAGGTTGGATGAAGCCCTGAAACTATTGCCCTGACACAATGTTTAAACCTTAAACCAAAAATATCCCCTGAAATCATCTTAAAACTGAACACTAGTTTAGCTTAACTAGTGAAGAAAAGGCCTGCCTTGAGGGTTATGCTCTTTTAAGGACTATCTATGTGGGATTAAAGTGACAACAGCAACTCAAAAGATTAGCTAGGAACCTTAGGAGGCAGTGAGTTTATGTTAATGAGGGAGGAACAACCCAGAAAAGGTGGTGAGAATGGTTGCACAGCTCAAACAATAGGATCAAGTGAACAGGTAGAAGCTGTTGAATTATGTGTTTTGCTGTGTGTATTCTCAGCAACAGAATAAATCAAATTTAGGGGAAAAAAACATAATCAAAAGAGACCAATCATGATACTCCATGTAGAACCATTTCTATAGGTCAAATCTAAGCAATTACCCCAAAGGTAGAAGAATGATGGATATGAACCCTGTGAATAGAGTTCATCAGGCCCAGTCAAAACAACAGAAATGATTTTCTCTCTACCTTGACTGATACTTGTGTCATACCTCTTGCTCTTGGCCAGAAAGATCATGGAAGCCTGAAGGTACTAGGACACAGAAGAAGCCTCTGGACATAAAACTTCTCTTGTCCCTAATCAGGCTCTAAATTAATGTTTTCAAACTTTGACTGTAAACAAATAGAAAACTCGAAGTGAAGGCCTTGGCTTTGGTCTTATTCAGTAGGTCTAGGGCAAGACCTGCCATTTTGCATCGCTAGCAAGCTCCCAAGTGATGCTGATACTGCTAGTCCATGGACCACACTTTGGGTAGTCAGCCTCTAGACTACAGCAACAGGGGAGCCATCTACGCAAAGGTGGTATTACCTTGGTTGCTGGCTTGACTGTCCACTTAAAACTCTGCCAAATGATAGCTAGCCATTTCAACTTGGGGTTGCCTGTATTACATTTAAACATTAGTTGTGTTACTGAAAGTGTGATGAGTGTGACTCTTAATATGAGCTTTGGATATCTAAAATCCATTCAACTCTGCCTATCATTTTCATAGTCTATTTAGAGATAGCTGCTGTAATTAATAGTTTGCAAACTGGTTTTCCAGGCCTCGAAGTGGAAAAAAACTGTACTCGAAACCAGAATGTCAAGTGCAGATGTAAAGCAGACTTTTTTTGTAAGAATTCTTCATGTGACTACTGTGAACCTTGCATGACGTAAGTTTTAGCCTTTCTCTGACTGAAACACTGGACAGACCTTGAGAGATAAAGTCTTCCTAGGGAGAGGAATCACCGACTGGGGTCAGGAATTTGGGTTGGAGTCTTGCTTTGCCTCCAAGTAAGTAGATGACCACTGGTTTATTCAAACATCAAGTCATCAGGCATTCATTTATTGGCACATTCCTGGCACCAAGAGTCTTAGTCTAGAGGTAGAGAGTGAAGAAAAGCAATGGTTATCTTGTGTCAACACCATCTGTCTCAGAAGAGACTTGTGCCAGAGTGTTACGAATTACACAGGCAAACCTTTCAACTCTGCCTGGGTGAAGCTATGACACATGGCTTGAGTCTTGGAAAAAGAAAAAAAAAAAAAAAAAGAGCACTAGGAGGTGTAGGAACTCTGGTGGTGTAGTGCCTAAGGCATTTGACTGCTAACCAGAAGGCTGGTGGTTCAAACCCACCAGCCACTCCTTGGAAGGAAGATTGGGCAATCTACTTCTGTAGAGATACCACCTCGGAAACCCAAGGAGGGGTTGATATGAGTCGGGACCGAATTGATGGCAGTAAGTTTGGTTTTTTTTAGCAGGTGTACATAGATGGAAAGCACATTTCAGGCAGGGGAAAAGCAGGGACAAAGAGGCAGAGGAGACTCAGACCAGGGTATCTGTCTAAAACGTGGGTAAGACCGGAAAAGGAGCCAGGGCCAGGTCACAAAGAGCTTGTCTTTCCTCCTGAAGAGCTTAGTTTTGGTCCAAAGTTAGAAGATCTGATTGTGTAGCTCACTTTTCTGTGAGCTTGGACCCATCACTTAACCTCTCTGAACTGCAGTTTACTCACTCATAGGATGCAAATAACATTGCTTGCCACACCTGCTGCATTTCTAGTGCAGATCAGATTGGATAATATGTGTTGTGGAAGTGGTTTTGCTTTGTAAGATGTTATTTTGTATGAATGTAAATGTTTAGGATTACTATTCATTTGCTTCTCTTAAGACTTGAAATTCATCTGAAAAACTTCTAAAAGTTCATCCAGGCTTAAAGGTAGGGTCATTATACTTTATGTATCTTCTTGCTAGAAAAATGTAAGTTACATTCAGTTACTCTAGCCTCTTCCTTCTAGCCTCAAATGTCTGAGAGGTCACCCGGGTCAGGGGGGATACCTTAGTAAAATAATACTAACAACAGTAGTTCTAACTATTTTATAATCTTGATTTTTTTTTCTCACCACAACCATTTGAGGAAAGTATTATTATTACTTTCTTCTTATTTATGAGGAAACAGGCTCACAGAGGATAAGTGACTGGCCCAAGGTCAGGTAGTTAAAACCTAAAACCAGACCACTGTCATTGAGTCGATTCTGACTCATAGCAAGTCTATAGGACAGAGTAGAACTGCCCCATAAGGTTTCTAAGGCTGTAAATTTTTATAGAAGCAGACTGCCTCATCTTTCTCCCATGGAACAGCTGGTGGGTTTGAACTGATGACCTTTTGGTTAGTAGCCAAATACTTTAACCACTGTAGCACCAGAGCTAGGTAGGTAGGTAGGGGGCAAAGCTAAGCTATGAACAAAGACCTTCCAACTGACAGTGTTCAGCTTCTGAAGACAATCCCACACAAGCCTCTTGAGTCTCCTAATCACCACTTGCTGTTAACACTGGCAACCTCTAACAGCCAGCTGGGCAGCTCCCTGAGCAGCTCAATGGGCGATGGCCATTGTCTGGCCATCTCATTGTTCTACACCACTTTCTTGAGATTGCTTTGGGTGATTTGACATTTCTTACCCAAACATCCAAATTGCGGTGTTCACTTGTACTAGCTTTAGATGCTAGTCTAGGAATAGGTTTGACCGAGATGCAAAGATGAATAATATGGTCCCAGATTTATTATGCATCATTGAAATGATCAAGCAATCAGTCCACAAAGGATTTTAGTATTTCCTCGTTTTTTTTTTCCCTAGGTGTGAACATGGAACCATTGAGAAATGCACATCAACTAGTAACACTAAATGCAAAGAAAAAGGTTACTATTTCTTTTTATACTTACATTCTCCTTCCTCCTACCCCCAAGTAAAATATAAAGAAAAGCTGATCCTTTCTGATTCTATTTCTGAGAGTATTGCTTAATCTTAAAGTCTGCTTACTTTCCTGTGAAATTCCCAGAGAACTCATACACGCTGTTATGGCTCCTGGTCACACCTGTAGTAATTGGAATACCTGGAATAATTTACGGTAAGTTCTTACTTTGTTCAAGCTATAATTTGAAATAGTGTGAGTAGTTGTTCAAAAGAATCACTCTCTGTCTCCTACCATAAGAAAGCTTGTGTGACGTTGGTATGGCGTCCCTGGGGGGTGCAAATGGTTAATGCTAAATGAGGAGCTCTGGTGGCGTAGTGCCTAAGGCACTTGACTGCTAACCAGAAGGCTGGTGGTTCAAACCCACCAGCCACTCCTCGGAAGGAAGGTTGGGCAATCTACTTCTGTAGTGATACTGCCTTGAAAACCCAAGGAGGGGTCGCTATGAGTCGGGTCCGACTTGAAGGCACATAACAACAACAACAACAGCAATGAAGTCCGTAGGTAAACCAAAATTGGTTATATTCTTAACTACTCCAGAAAATCCCTTTGAAACACCCATAAAACAAAGGGCAGGGCCAACTCTCAAAAACTCTGAAGAAGCCAGGTTTTCCTTTTCTGTTGGAGCAAGTCACTGTTTCTTCAGCTAAACTGAAGGTAAAGAGGTTTCCTTGCATTTAGAGGCTGTTTAGCTAAAATCCCATACTCGATATTTAAACTATCATTGTACCCAGGGCCTTCCAGGTTCCTGTCTTCTATCTTATACTGACTCCAAGGCACACATTCATTGAGTGTATACTTGAGGTTTTTTGAGTGTGTGTACTTGAATTTCTGGACATTAAATGCCATTTCTCAACAAGCTGGTGTTGAATTTTGATGTCCATGGCATTTGTGTTCTGCTGCAGCTATGCCATGTAACTATGACCATGTGTGTGGTCATAGCCAGAGAGATAACTCAAAAGCCAGCCTCAGGCTAAGCCAGCCTCAGGCTAAGCCAGCCTCAGGCTAAGCCAGTGTGTGGTAATTGGACGACTCAATTAAAATGTGATATATCTCAGGAACACTTGTGACTCCCTGGGTGGAGCAAATGCTTTTTAATGTGTTTGACTGTTAACCAAAAGGTGGGTGGTCCAAGTTCACCCAGAGTTACCTCAGAAGAAAGGGCCGGCAATCTCCTTCTGAAAAATTCAGCCACTGAAAATCCTATGGCATACAGTTCTACTCTGACCTACGAGGGCTCTCACCATGAGCCAGAGTCAACTTGATGGCATTTTGTTTTTCCTCAAACTCTTAACTTCATGGGCTAAGATTTCCAAAATCAGGACAGTTCTGCCTTCTGTGAAGCTTGGCCTCTTTGAGTTTCCTTTTCACATTTCTCTGTATGTTCTCACATGCTTCCTGCCAGGCTGATACTTGAATCTGACAAATCTCCTTGATCTTTCAGGGGTGATAAAGTATAGAAAGCATAAAAGAGGAACATACGGGAATCCTGAATCTACTGTGAGTGTTGAAACATGCATCATCTTTCTTTAAAAAAAAAAAAAGGAATAATTTTTCTTTTTATCTGTTATTTTTGAAAGAACATTTGTTGAATACCTACTCACACGTATTGGTTAGAAGGGTGTCAAAGATTAATTAAGATGTAGTGTTTAGTTTATGAGTAAATTTCTGTGCAAATAGCATACGAATCAATGAAAGGGGTAAGTGAGAATGTGCTCATTGTGAGTTTGAAAAAGGCATGGCCTACACCCATGTTGCATGCTGCTGTGACTCCTGCAGAGAAAATGCGCAGGCACCCGGGACAGGGCACAGACAGCAGTAGAATCGCGCAGCCCCACTGTTACATATAGCTCTTCATTAAAGCTCATGCTAAAGGTGCAGCCCGACTCTCTCTCTCCACCTGTTGACCTATTAACTGTTAACTGTTCCCAACATGGGATCAAGGTATTTCAAACAGCAAAAAACAAATACATTGGGAATTATGTGCCACTTAGTTGCTTTTCACATTTGGGGACAGGCTCAGTGGGAGTTAAGTTTCTTTATACAAATTTCGACTTAAGGCATCTTCTGTATCAAAAATAAGGATAATTGCAGTGACATCAATTTTAGAATGAGTATGTCTATTACGCTTACTTTAATGTGCCTGTGAAAAATACTCTCGGGAACTTTTATCAAGAATTCCTTAAGTTGCTTTGTAAAATGTAAGCCAATGTTGCTTAGTTTCTGGCTGGAGCCTTTCAGAATTAGACTGTGAATGCTAAAGACCCCCGCTTAATCGCTTCGTCTAGTTTCCTAATTTTATATGTCAAGCGACTGGTTATACTCCTTGCTGAAATCAGGAAGAATTAGAAGATTATCTTCAGACTATTCTAAATAGGTTTTTATTTATCTTCTCACTTTCATTTTTTCTCCCTAGGAAATGAGGCCACTGAATTTCACAGGTAAAGCTTTTCATATTTTATTTTCATAGAGATGGCTTCCTTAGGAGTAATAGGCCAATTTTACAGCAAAATAATGTTACTCATTTCAGTGACAGATTATGGGCTCTTGCTGTTTCTTGCACTTGTAGTTCTTCCTGCTCACCACCAATGTTTATCAGAGAATTTCTTTAAATGTACAACCATTATACAAAGTTAAAAATAAATCAGGTGGCTGCTCTCTAGATTATAGATACTTGTTATTTTTCGTAATGAGACAAGTAGCACAGAGTGTGGGTGTAATGAACACTGCTTGACCAAAGTAAAGTGCCACTGAGAAGGGCACAAGAGAAAGGGATATTTGGGCAAAGAATATGACATAAATAATGTTGCAACTACACCAACAATAACCTTAAAATGAGTGGATGAACACAGAGGTATATGTGTAGGCTTATAAACATTCCTCAGACATGTCATGGGCTCAGTTCCAGACTACCACATGAAATGAATATAGCAATAAACTGAGTCATGTGAATTTTTTGGTTTCCCAGCATTTAAAAGTGATGTTTACACTATATTGTAGTCTATTAAAAAGGAGCTGTGGTGGTGTAGTGGTTAAGGCATTTGGCTGCTAACCAACAGTTCGGTAGTTCGAACCCCCCAGCTGCTCCGTGGAAGAAAGATGAGGCAGTCTGCTTCTGTGAAAATTTACAACCTTGGAAACCAAATGGGGGTTGCTAAGAGTCCAAACTGACTTGATGGCAGTGAGTTTGGTTTTTGGTTTTGGTAGTCTATTAAGTGTGTGCAACTGCATTATAAAAACATTTGAAATATCGTGAGAATTACCAAAATGTGACACAGAGACACAAAGTGAGCACATGCTGTTGGAAAAATGGCACTGACAGACTTGCTCGATGCAGGGTTGCCACAAACCTTCAATTTGTAAAAAGCACGTCTGCAAAGCACAATAAAGAGAAGCAGAATAAAACAAGGTATGCCTGTATATGTGTACAGGTAGGTACAGAGGAGTACATATGTGTACCAGATAGAAGATCTATAGGTACATGTACATTCAGATATGTGTATGTATATATACTCATAGAGGATACAGTTACAGGGACTTCTCAGAAATAATCAAATACTTTGCAAAAATGGTTTTTCTGGGTTTAAAGTCTTGGGTGCTAAGTATTATGGAACAATGCGTCAATTGGCAGCACAGAGTTTACGTTCTGAATCTTAGTGAGTTGTTTAGCAGCTAGGGTCACAGAAATGTACAAGTGGCCATCTAAGATACAACTATTGGTTTCTACTCATTAAGAGCAAAAGAGAAAGAAGGAAACCAAAGTCTTAGAGAAGATATTAGTCTACAGGGCTAATAGCCTACACAAGCTACAGCCTCATCCACCCTGAGACCAGAAGAACTGAATGGTGCCCAGCTACTGCTACCAACCTTTCTGATCAGAATCACAATAGACACACCCAAATAGAATGGAAGAACAGAATTCAAATTCTTAAAGCCTAGATTTACTGGACCACTTGAGACTGGAGAATTCCCTGGACTATTGCCCTGAGATATGCTTTAAACCTTGAACTCAAACTATCACCTGAGGTCACCTTTTAGTGAAATAACAGATTGGCTCACAAAATAAAATATATTACCCAGGAGCTCTGGTAGTGTAGTGCCTAAGGCACTTGACTGCTAACTAGAAGGCTGGCGGTTCTAACCCACCAGCCACTCCTCAGAAGGAAGACTGGACAATCTACTTCCGTAGTGATACTGCCTCAGCAACCCAAGGAGGGGTTGCTATGAGTTGGGGCCAACTCAACGGCACATAACAACAACAACAGCCTGGGAGTAAGGAGCTCCATTAAAAAACATGGGTATGAGACCAAAATATTAACAATTATCCTAAAGCAAAGATGAGAAGATAGGGGGACAGGGACTCCAGGGCACTGGAAATAGAGCTACCAGAACACAATTAATGAGACTGTTGATACATTGTGAAAAATGTAACTACTGTCACTGAATCACTTGAAATGGGAATGAGACTTGCTGTGTAAACTCTCAAGAAAAACACAGTAAAATATAAGTTAAAAAAAGAAAACAAATAAATCATGTAGCAAAGGGACACTATATTCTAACACTTAAAATAATTTTTCTTCACAACCATTTAGGAACGTTATTAACTGCTGCCTATAATAAACTGTAAACTGACTCTGAGGTTAACATGAACTGTAGACTCGGTCATTGTTGGTGTAGCCAAGCTCTATAATGATGTACCTGATTCCATCCAGTTTTGTTCTTTGACTAGTGACTCACAGATAATATGATCATAAACCCTTTGCCTATACTTTCAGATTGTGAGTCATTGAGCATCAGATCCATAAAGGATCTTAAGGATTATGTTGTCCAACTCTCTTATTTTACAGATGAGAAAAGAAGATGGAAAGATAACATGTGTCTTTTTCTTATATAACAAATTACTGGGGACACAGCAAGAGCTGGGATTAGAATGCTGGGTTGCTTTTTTTCCCCCAATCAGCTCATGAGATCTCTCAGACTTACTTTTATTCTCAAGTACAATCAGGGGAGAAATAAACATGGTTTACAGTAATAGGGATTTCTTTTAGGAAAGTGAGTTTTCTGAGACTGTTTTCTATTTTGCAGATGTTGATCTCAGTAACTATATCACTTATATTGCTGAAGAAATGACAATAAATCAAGTTAAAGATTTTGTTCGAAAGAATGGTATCCATGAAGCTAAAATGGATGAGATCAAGAATAACTATTCCCATGATACAGCAGAACAAAAGGTCCAACTGCTCCGTAATTGGTATCAACTTCATGGGAAGAAAGATGCATGTAACACTTTGATTAACAATTTAAGAAAAGCCAATCTCTATGCTGTTGCAGAAAAAATTCAGGAGATACTTAAGAAGGACATTGCTAGTGATAATGAAAATACAAACTTCAACAATGAAAATGAAAGTCAAAGCTTGACCTAGAGTGAAAAATAATGTGCACAAGAAAAATTAGTGTTTGAATAAGTTTGTAGTAGTTGAAGGCTCTAAATATTGCTTGGCTTTTTATGGTTGTGTTTTATTTTTCATTTATTAGATTTGTAAAGGCAATATATTTATGGGTTTTGAGGATCTCATGATGCTGCCTTCAAGGATGCTTAAACTCTAGCTGGGAAGACAGACATGGTCAAGAGTCAGTGCAATGCATGTTAAACACTTGAGTGGGCATGCATGTCCAGGACAGTGATTGGGATTATGTTCTTACTATGTAAAGTATGAGTTTTAAATATGAATGTAATGAGCACTCATACTGCACAGCCATCTATCCACAGACTGAAATCCCATTCCATGCACCAACAGAAGTTGTGACCTTTTGTCCTATGTCACAGTCACTGGAAAGACCATTCTGCTTCTAAATTACCACCCGCAGCTCCACAACAATTCTAGAGATTTTACCTTCTCTGTAAACTTGGTTTACAACATTGAAAGAAGCATATTCAGGTAAAGCTTGCATATACATCTGAATGCAGAAATGAATAAGGTTCTACCTCAAAGATCTTTGCACAGACCATCAGCATTTTTGGTGAACTATTTACATAGGAAATGCAGATGAAATTATAATGCTTGAATAGTTTATATGTGTTATGTCGTTTTACTAGATCAGAATAATCTACTGCTTTCTCAGGTTTCAACAACAGTTCCAACAGCAGAGTAGTGAGATAGCATTGCCAGCTCTTCACTTTCTCCTTGACGTGCATCTTCATAGCTGAATGGACCTCCATCCCTGGAAGTACTGCCACAGAAATACATTATGTCCAACTATAAGCTGGGGCTGTCCTGAAAACTCTCTCACCTGGTTTGGATAGACTAACTCCTCTTAAAGCAGGTAGCTTTGTGGCATGTCGTGAACCCTGCCTACCACCAAACTGGTGAGGCAAATTCTCGCTATGCACATCACTTCTCCCCAAAGGTCCAGGCTCTCTCCAAGCATTGTCTTTTGCCTCAAGTGACAGCTTATAGATACCAATGCTCAAATGATCTTCAGATATTTGGAATTGCCCTTGTTTTCTGCAGCTTTTTAGACAAGCTCCTCTCCCCTTTCCTTACTTTTTTACATGTAAAAAGTTGGTATTAATGTGAATTTTAATAAGTGCTATTTATATTTATATAAACATAACTGAAGTTAGTTATAAAATGAAGCAGACACTTAGAACCATCTAAAGAACTTCCGTTGATGAGAGAATGTTTTTCCCTGTGGTTCAAAATATGAAATATAAGTAAAAATATTTCATTAAAATAATGTTCTTGGTATTTCTGGTTCTTTCTTTCTTCTTCTTCTTTTTTTAATGGGGGCTTGTTTTTTGTTTTTATTTTGTTTCCCTTTATTCTAAATATGGTTAAATGTAACAACCTCTTTATGAATTTTAATACTTTCTTTGGTGTCTTAGGAAGTATTCCCTTTTGAACCATTTTAGCTGTTAAATGATTCTCTCCACAAGCTGTTACTACCAAGAAAACCACACCCAAACAACAAATAATTACATTTTAAACAGATTTGTATGGCACAGGAATGTGGATAAAAGCAAATCCATTGCCATCAAGTTGATTCTAACTCACAGCCCGTAGAGGACAGAGTAGAACTGTCCCATAGGGTTTGCAAGGCTGTAAATCTTTATGGAAGCAGATGGCCACAATTTCTCCTGCAGAATGCCTGGTGGGTGCAAGGTGTCAACCTTTCAGTTGGCAGCCGAGCACTTTAACCACTGCACCACCAGGGTTCTTTTGGAATGTGTATGTTGTTATTGTTGTTATGTGCCATCGAGTCAGAATGTGTATACCAAAAACAAAACCAAACTCACTGTCGTTGAGTCAATTTGACTCATAGCGGGTCCTCCTTGGGTTTCCAAGGAGATATCTCTATGGAAGTAAATTGCCCAATCTTCCTTCTGAGGACTGGCTGGTGGATTTGAACCACCAGCCTTCTGGTTAGCAGTCAAATGCCTTAGGAATGTGGATTTGTTGTTGTTGTT